TTCCTCCTCCTCCTCCTCCTCCTCCTCCTCCTCCTCCTCCTCCTCCTCCTCCTCCTCCTCCTCCATCTCCACCTCCTCCTCCTTCTTCTCCTCCTCCGCCTCCTCCTCCTCGTCCTCCTCCTCCTCATCCCCATCATCCTCCTCCTCCTCCCCCTGCTCCTCCTCCCCCTCCTCCTTCGCCTGCTGCTCCTCCTCCTGGTCCGAGCCGAGGTGTGTTGCTGGAGGGCGGTCGAGGTTGAGTGCTTGGGCTCCTTTGGTGTCAGAAGCTGGGGCCGATGCTCCCTCGGCAGGATTTGCTATTCGAAGAAGCGTGCCTCGAGGTGGATCGGGCAGCCTCGAGAGGTCGGGCCAGGGCGAGGACGTCAGGGCCCAGGGTCGACTCAGCGCATCGTCCCCTGCCCCCATCCCTCTGCTCTCAACGGGCCACAGGCCCTCGTCCCATGGGTCGCGCTGAGCCGCGGGAGGGGTGAAGGGGCAATCTCGACGGCGCGCTGGCTCAGTCCCCTCCATTCTCCCTCCCCTCCTCCCCTGCTGATGCCGGTGCGCTGCTCCCCCCCCTCCCTCTCCGCAGCCGCTCTCTCTACAGTCTCCCGCATCCCCTCCGGACGCCCAGAAGCCAGCGTGGTCCGCCTCGGATTAGATCGCCATGGCCGGGGAGCAGCTGAAGCAGGAAGATGTTCTCAAGTACTGGATGGACCACAAGCCGTCCCTGAAGGCAACCCTCCGGGCAGCGGCGACCAGTGAGTCCAAACACCCAGGCGCGTGCTGCTCGAAGACCCTGTACGGGCGGGCCGTAAAGCGCCAGTGGGAACTCATGAACCCCGAGCAGCAGGAGTCCTGGCGAGCCGCGGCGGCCGCTGGGGGCCCCCCCCCGTCGCAGCCCGCCCTCGCGTTCCCGGTCTGCCAGGGCGGCTCGCCCCCGGAAGGCCAGGGAGGTGCGGAGTCCCGGAGCGCCGCTCCAGCGCCGGAGGCCAGGGACCAGGCGGGCGCTTGCCCTGGGGCCGGCCAGAGCCAGGACTCGAGCTCTTTCCCGTCGTGGTGCGCCTGGTGCGGCAGGGCCCCCCTGTCTCCCTTCCAGCTCAAAGAGGGGCAGGGCCCCTTCCAGCACAAGTTCTTCTGCGGCGGGTGTTGGGACGCCTGGGAAGCGGAGCCAGCAACGCCCCCAGGGTGTCCCCCCGACCTGGGCCAGGAACAGGCGCCCCAGCAGCACGCGGAGGCCCCGGAGTCGGCTGTTCTGCCCGAGGGGGCTGCGGCCCAGGAGCAGGAGGCCAAAGGGCAGGCCACCACCGGCGGCGGAGGGCCTCAGCCCGCGCGCGGCGCCCTAGCGGCACAGACCGGTCCTGGGACGCAGGAGGCCGTGGGGCTCCCAACCTCCGGAGCAGGGTGGGCGCCCGAGCAAGGTCTCCTGCATGTGCAGTGCGTGGAGTGCGGCGTTGTGGGCGGTCCGGTCAAGGCGGGCTACTGCGAGTACTGCTGGACCACCTGGGAAGCAACGAACACTTCTCTGGCCGCCGGCGCCGCGCAGCAGTTCACGGGAGCAGCAGGGCACTCCGAGCCAGGTCAGCAGCCCCCAGCCAAGCGGGCCAAGTTCACGGGGCTGGAGCCGGACCCCTGGACAGGCCGTGGCGTCGGCGGGGCTGAGCCCGGGCAGGGTTCGGGTGACACGGCGGCCCTTGCCTGCATGGGATGTGGGCAGCTTGTGTACGCTCTTGTGGCAACCAAAGGGCCTTCGGGGTTGCGGCTCCTGTGCGGGGCCTGCGGGCCAGCAGCCAGCCCTGCCGCCGGTAACGGGGCGCCCCCCTCGCACGCTCTGCCCCCAGCGGGTCGGGGGGGTGACGCCCAGGGCTGGGGCGCCCCGCCAGCAACCGCCGCTCCGAAGCCAAGGGCCTGCGACCCGCTCTTCCCGGAGTTCGGGCGCGTCCAGGGCCCGCCGGCTGCAGAGGCAGACAAGCACAACGTGGACAGGTGGGTACGGAGGCTCCCAGACGGGAGCCTCCCGACGGACCGGATCGTGCTGTACTGGGCCTACACTCACCCGGTGAGCGGCCCCCTCATGGCCACTGGCAAGTGGTGCCACGTCCCCAAGCGGGATCCCGTGCCGAAGGGCGTGCTCCTGCAGTTCGGGCACAAAAAGGGAGCAGCCCATGTCTGGCTCCGCAAAGGAGGCCACGTGCACGTGTCTGCCAGCAAGAAGAACGGCGTCCAGGAGGCGATCTTGGCCAAGCTCGAGGCCTGGACCGAGCCCTGGAACAATGGCACCCCGCCAGCCCCCCAGCGGATTGGCGGCCCGCAGGCGCTCCCGCCTCTGCCGCCCCTGCCGCCAGCAGCATGGTCGCCGCCCCCGGCGTCCGATTGACCAGGCAGCCTAGCCTCGCGGTAAGACTTCTCGGGGGAGCCTCTACCCCTTGCGCTCTTTTTTCTCCTCCGCCCCCCTCCCTCTTCCACGCTCTAGGTAGGGCCCCCGTGCGCCCGGGGAGCGGCAGGCAGATGCTGTGCAGCCTCTGTAGAGGAACCGAATCAGAACCCTTTTGTTTCAAGTCCGCACAGGTAGTTTTGATGTTTCCTGCGTCTCCTCCTCCTCCTCCTCCTCCTTTTCCTCCTTCTCCCCCCTCCAGCCTTCTGCCCAGCAGGCAGTGCATCTCCTGTGAGGATTGTGTGACGGACAGCGCATCAGTTGCAAAACAGAGCATAGGTAGAAAAAAAGGGGTGGAGGGGGTGGGTGGTGGGGGGGTTCTGTCTCTCCGCGCCGTCGGCCTCAGGAGGCCGTTTTTCGGGCCCCGGGGGGTCGCCTCGTCCCCTCTCCCTCCCGTCCTCCCGCTCCGCAGGGCCGGGCCGGGCGGGTCGGGTCTGCCGGGGCCAGGCCGCCCTCCCCTCCTCCTCCTCCTCCTCCTCCTCCTCCTCCTCCTCCTCCTCCTCCTCCTCCTCCTCCTCCTCCTCCTCCTCCTCCTCCTCCTCCTCCTCCTCCTCCTCCTCCTCCTCCTCCTCCTCCTCCTCCTCCTCCTCGGTCCCTTCCCAGCCTTCGCTCTTCCCTCCCTGTCGTCGTGCCGCTGCCGCCGCTTTCGCTGCCGTCGGCCGCCGCGTGTCGTCGTCGTCGTCGTCGTCGTCGTCGGTCGTCGTCGTCGTCGTCGTCGTCGTCGTCGTCGTCGTCGTCGGCGTCGGCGTCGTCGTCGTCGTCGTCGTCGTCGGGGTCGCCGCCGCTGCCGCTGGTGGCCTCCGCGTGGCCTCGTGCCGCCGCGTGGGGGAGAGCTGGCAAGCTGGCCCAGGAGCGTGCTCCTTGGGAGAGTGCGAAGCCCAGCCCTCGGAGGCATGCCGGCCGCGGCAGCCCCTCCGAGGCCAGTTGGGGTGCCCTCTCCCCCCGTCGTCGTCGTCGTCGTCGTCGTCGTCGTCGTCGTCGTCGTCGCCGTCGTCGCCTCGTCGTCGTCGTCGTCGTCGTCGTCGTCGTCGTCGTCGTCGTCGTCGTCGTCGTCGTCGTCGTCGTCGTCGTCGTCGTCGTCGTCGTCGTCGTCGTCGTCGTCGTCGTCGTCGTCGTCGGGGTCGCCGCTGCCGCCGCAGGGGGCTGCCGCGTGCCCTCGTGCCGCCGCGTGAGGGAGAGCTGGCAAGCAGGCCCTGGAGCGCGCATCGGGGCGCCGAGGCCGCTGCCATCGGCCGCCGGGAGTCCTCGAGTCGCCGTGGGGGCAGGCCGTTGGGGGTCCTGGAGGTCCTTTCGAGCCTTCGGAGGCCCTGGGTGTTCCGTCGGGGGTCCTGATCGCGTCCCCGTTCCTCGGCTCTTGGGGTTTCCCTTGTCGCCGTCTCCGGTGGCAGCTCTGAAAACTTGTGCCTTCGGTCCTGGGGGTCTCTGCCCTTCCCCTTTCCCGCCTCCCTCCTTGCCCTCGTGTGCTGGCTTCTCTTCCTCCCTCCTCCCCGGCTCTAGTGAGAGGAGTGGCCAAGGGCTACATCTCAGCGTCCCTGGGGCAGCCATGGACAGCCTGCTGGGTGCTATCTGGGACGCTTTCCCGCATGAAAGGGGCTTCGGGCCTCAAGGAGACCAGGCGGCGGACGCTCTACTGCAGTTCAGGTGGCAGCAACTCCAGGAGGAGGCGCACAGGCTTATGTCCATGGCTAGGCGTGGGGAGTGCCCCCCGTTTTCTCAGTCCCTCTC